CTTCTACGGGCATTAACGTACCACCAACTCCAGCATAAAGTTTCCCACCCCACACATGGGTCTTCGAGGGGTCTGCCAATCAGACTAGCAGACAGGCAGCACTTCCAATGCCTTTCGCTTCACCAAGGCATCAAATCTCATTGCAAATTATGTACATGCTCATTGTATATCATCTCAGAATTTGCTGGGCACTCCTCTTATAGTAGAGGTCTCCTGCTTATGAAGATGATATCTGAGACAACTCACTGCCTTTATGTTAGATTGGAATTGTATTGCGCTGTTGTCAGATCCAAAAGACCACGCAGAATGGAATGGAATGACAATAGAATGAGAAAAGCAAATCAAACAATTAACCATTATTGAGAACAGGCTTTTATTTACAGTTTCTGTAATAAAAAACCCTTGATAAATGAAGACAAAATTACGTAGGACTAAACTTTTGAAACTTTCTAAGCAAACAGTTTTCCAATTATGGAACTTAAAAAACTCACTGCTTGTGACAGGAATTCATACAAATCATTTTTATTAACAAACAACCAAACAAGCACACAATCCAGAAATCTGACTAAAATGGTGAAAAAAATTCTAAATGGAAAGAACAATATGTGGAATTAAGGCGGTTAGATTAGGAAGCTGATCTAAGGGGCCTGGTCTTATTCTGGAGTGACACATCTCAAAAAGTGGTGAATTTAAGTTAATTTACAGGGAGCAGCGCAAACTGCACAATAAACCTTTATAAAAGTAACAACAAGAAGGCTGAAGAAGGGGGTTGGATGGAACAAGAGAAAATGATCGACAGTAAAGAAGGTGATGGAGAGATTGAAGCCAACGAGCCTGCTTCTGAAGCAGCGGAGTAGAGCGGTGTCACCGACTCTGATAAGGAGGAAGGCAAGGAAAACTAGGAAGACAAGCATAAAGGCAAGGAGGGGGAAGAAGTTGAAGCGGAGAAAGGTGAGGTAGAGGGCGGAGTGACAACTTGTATTTTAAGTGAAACAACAGTTTGTCGATGGCAAGGAACTCTGTAAGGTGAACCTAGGTGTGGAAAGTGAGGTAGCATAGGAGGGAACCGCTCTGGTATTTGTTTAGCATCCTGCAGATAAACCCGACTAATACGAGGAGGCAAAGTGACCTTATCCCCAACCAAGTGGTTGAAGTATCTAAGGTTGTGCTCTACAGTAGTGCTGTTTTGCAAACACCAAAATCACGTCCTGGATGTTAATACTAGTGCCAGTGCATTTATGAATTTTAATAAACTATTAGATGATCAGCTGATTGTCTAGAACAATGATGAAGACGCCTAATTGTTTGATGAAAAACTGACCATTATTTGGATGTTGTGGCTCTTGTAAAAAAGTTTAAAATTCTCTGATTACTTTATTAGCTTCTTAAAGCTTCATAAACAGTCTCTTAATTTGTAAATAAACTGAACGTCCTAAATAAGGCAAGTAATACCTCCCAATACAAGGGTTAAGCTCACCCCTAAATTGTTTTTCCTTCTGAGTATCTCGTACACCTCTCACCTCGCTAAAGTGAATTCCACTTTCTCCATCTTCTTACTGATAGTCCGGATGTAGCTAATCCGTGTTTTACTCTTTCCCTTATAACTAATCCCCCACTATTCATGACACAGAATTACACTACACCGTTTCTTGCATTACTTGGGGATCACTGATATTATTCCTAACACTTTCTTATCAGTATTCCACTTCTAACGTAAGCAATGGGATAAGTGCTTGTCAAGCCTAAGACTGCCAGCGTTATATTGGTGTGTGTTACCATAACCGTTTATCTAAAATGTTAAATAAACACATCACTTTGTACTACATTCCACATTCTACTTAGGAAATTACATAAAAAGTTTCAATGGGATGAGCTGGAGCATGGGGAAGAAGGATGATCGGAGCATCAACATTTCTAGGGTACCACAGTTACTTGCTTGATGGTTGGCTTCTTAAGCAATTGCACTAGCTTAATTTGCACAGACTTCAGTGAGGAGAAGCACACTTTAACTGTAGAATAAACCAATCAGGTGGAAGAAGGAGTGCAGCCACCTCTACGCACACTGCCTCAGCTACATACGCTTAGCTTCTATGGTACACCATACATATAGCAACTCATATATTAACGAGTTCACGACGAGTGCTTTCGAGATCAAGTGATTACATCATGAGGACCGTTCTTATTTGGTTCGCGATTGCCGGACTTTTGGTAGCTGGGTTTACCAAACCTGTTACTGTCGAAAATGTGAAAGAAGAGGATGACATAGAGAAAGAAGAAAAAGAGGAAGGTGACGAAGATAAGGATGAATTAGACGGCTCTAATACTGAGGACAATGTGGAAGAGAAAGAAGAGCAAGAGCAAGAGGAAGCGGAAGAGGATGAGGGTGAGGAGGAGGATGAGGATGAGGAAGAAGGGGAGACAGAAAAATCCGTTGAAGAAGGTGGCGAAGATAAGGACAATGTGGAAGAGAAAGAAGAGCAAGAGCAAGAGGAAGCGGAAGAGGATGAGGGCGAGGAGGACGGAGAAGATGGTGATGAAGAAATTGAAGAGAAATTCGATGATGGTAGTGATCATGGGCCTAAAGGACCAATTGAACAGAGGAACGCTGGATTACCGGCGAAACGGGTAGCAGTTCTGTGAAATAAATGTTCCTTTTCATTATTTGTTGAACTACTGGATGGTCGCCTTTCATTTGTTCTCCCTCATTCTATGATAAAACCATGTCCTTTTATGCAGCTTATGATTTTCGGTTGAGATAATGAGATGAAGGTGTTATTTTGTTCTTTTGATTTCCTGTAATTAATGCAACCTGATTTTGCTTTCAAAAGACCTATCATCTTTTTTATTGTTATATCGAATCAGTGAAATTCAAACAAGTCTGAGCAACTTTATGAACATTTTAGTCACAGTTAATGAGTTAGGCCATAGCTTTACGGTTTTTCTCATGACTTACTCTTTGGACCGTTATTGAGAAACTGATATTAGTAAAGCATTTTTTAGGTTTCATGCTTAAATTTGAACTAAACAATGATGAGATTGATCTTCTAGAGAAGAGCTCAAAGTTTCAGCGATTATTTTCGTTGACTAGCTGTTGGCAAAGACTTTAAAATTACACTAAACCCCTAAGGCAGGGTAAGGTTTAGCATTTATTTTCACCGTCTCCATTATTTGAGGCAAGTAAATTTCAGGACCATTCACTGGGACTTTATCTTTGTTAAGGAAACAAGTGCATCTACCCATTGCATTAGAATTTAAGGGTAAGCAACTGAAACGACTTGATAGATACTTCTGGCCCCAGACAAATTACAAATGGGCTTGAAATTGAGTAAATTAGGGGTAGACGTGGTGTGAGGTTAAGCCAACACGGCCTTGCTACTTTGCATATTTGCTCCAGTGAAGTAAATCACAGGGCTTGTAATCGAATAACTTATCTATAGTATTCTCTTTCACACGAATTAACTGAGTTGGTCATTCCTACTAAGGCTCCAAGTTTTAGGTAAGTTGAAAACGGTTGAAATTTTTAACTATTCGAGCCAATTAATACAGAGCATAAACAGTTTTAGAACACACTACTTTATTCACATTGGATTTCAGTTGATCTTTTAACGGTATTGGTTATAACCCCTAGTTTTGTCGATTATTATTACTTTTGTGAGTCATTGATGCATCCCTATGTAGGAAATATTTCATTTGGAGATTAAGAAGGGTAACGGGGATGTCCGTCAGAGAATCAGTTCCGATGAGAGATTTGCCACTTTTCATACTCCTTCTGCAGTGGAAAATTCGATTTCACAATTTTTTTATTATATTGCCAATGGTTTTGGAGAAAGAAGGACCTTGTATGATCGTTCAACAGATGGCTATCCTTGTTTCAGTCTATCAATGAACGCTTTTATTGGAAGATCTTAACTTCAAAGGTACAACGGTGGAGCATCAAAGTGGCCCCTTTTTCAAAACCGAGAGTCAAACAACCGACGCATTACATAGACTTCTCATCTTTTGAGCATATTCTCTGGCGCTTCCCTCCCTCGACCTCCCGCTTTAGTCATCAAAACGTAATCTGTGCTGTAAGGAAACATCCACGAGCAAACCGTACCAGTCATCAAATTTTCACGCCACTAAGGAGACATTTGATTGCAACGTCACTGATCCCTTAAGGCATTTTTACTGGACCTGGAGTTTCGTCCCGTATTGGGGGACGGACAATGTGTTCACCATCACGCGTGTTCACACCTAGACTTGGGAACACTGGCCCAAAAGCAGTCATATAACAACTGACGGGGTTTGACGTAGTTCCGAGCAGGTAGGGTTTCGTGTCTATTACTACTTGCCAAGTTGTTCTCACAACGGAGCTGCCCAGTCATTTCAGTATATCTGGATTTTATTCAGCTACCACAGAAGTGGAAGAGGTATCGCGTTTCCACGCATTTAATATCTTCATACAGGTATGTTAAGCAGCTCCGTAATACACTTCTCCCGATCGTTTGTGGTTAGTTTCGCCTCTGCTGTTGTTAATAGCTTCCCTGCAGAACATGAAAATGGGTTGTTGCCAGAGGTAGACGTCATTTTCAACTCTTCTGTCGGTAGCTGTTACAGATTCTCCCATCCGTGGGATATGGAATTCCTCCATCAAGTCAAGGTATATCGTTCAGCAGTAGGAATTGGGATAGATGACATTTAAAATTGGGTCTGCTTTTCGCTGCCACCAATGTGACGCCTTGCGACTTCCCCAAAGGCGAAGGGAGATATGACACTTAGGTGGAATATATTGTATCGGTGTGCAGTCAGGCTTGGGGCTACTGGCATGTTGCGCAGGATAGCCCACCTGGCTTTGGCACAATGAGGGCGACTCAAAGTGGACCAATTACTGAAACGGAGACTTAAAAAATTATCGGATTACAGCAGGTGTGCATAACGGAATCTTTGATTTTCCTTATTACTAGGAGAACCATGTACTACTGATAAAGTAACTTCTTGCAAAAATTGTGTCTCAAATGAATAAGGAATGACACTCCGTGAAAACTTACCCTTGCTGGCTTTAAAAAGGCAAAAAATACGTATTTCATAAAACAAAACTTGCAGTATCCCACTGATCTGGATCTGTCTTGATTTGGGAATTGTGATATTATGAAGGAGCACTAAATGTAAATTCTGAGTATCAGAATGGTCCCTAAACATTAAATTCAGTTGTGACATTAAGAGGGGCCTCTTACTTGGATTATCAGCCTCAAGGCAAGGGTAGAACGGAAATCGTAATAAAAATTCTTAACTCCATCAAATCCTATTCCGGCTACTTTTTATCTGCAAAAATATCTAGGGATTCATTTTGCAACTCGTTAAACCATTTTTTATTCACTCTACCTTTCATGAAACCAACTTAATCAAATTTAACCCAACCAAATACTGTAATCGGTATGCATTAAATGTAGTTTAGGATTCAAAAACGTCACATTTGGTTCTTCAAAAATAAAAAGGGCTTTTAAGAATATAAAGTGGCATCAGGCCTAGTCTAAATGAGATATTAGGGCGAGTTGTAGATTTGAACAGGCAACTTGGATGACTAAACATTGATTTTGGCCATTTTTTGAATATATAGTGCTCTACATCCAAGCCGAAATGAGATTAAACGAGGAAATATTATTTAATTGTGATGAAAAGTGCAAACTAAGGTGGTGAAATTTTCATGGACTTGAAGAACTCTACAATTAAAATAAACCTTTTGAAATGACTTTGCATTCAAATTTGTTTTACTTCTGGTTGAAGAATTTTCAAGCGCCGTTCTTCTTGTTAAAACAGGATTGTTTGCTTGGCTAATTCAAATTGACTGCCGGATTAATGCAAATGTGTTTTGGGAACATCTATGCCAATCTCTACTTTGCCGCCTCAATGAGACCTACTGAAGCAAATTCAAATAATAGTAAGAATCAAGAATTAGCCCCGCTGAAAGCCGCTACATATTTTGCTGATTTTAGAGATTCTTAAATCGCTTGAAGTTTGGAAAATTTCAGACCAACCCAATCAGTGATTTACGACTTCAGGCATCCTAAGTATGCTGTTGTAATACCTTTGGTTGCTTTTATAACCCTCAGTTTTAGTAAAGGCGCCACTTAGGCGCTGGCTAGCCCTTGGACCGTGCCGGTTGCCCCGACCCCTACTCCACGTTATTTGTTTATATTCTGCCAGAGTATTATGTCTTATCTCGCTTGAAGGGCAGTCTCGGGGCGCTACATTAACTGTTGATTTTTAACTTTAGCTATGGTCTTTGAACAGCTGAAATTACCAGGAAAGTTTATCATCGGTAATCGTTGAAGTAAAAATTTTTAAAATTACCTGATAAAAGTGAAAAGCCTTCGTGGGATGGCAGCAAGTTCCCTATAATGACCTATCAAACGATAGGGTGACAATGTTTCCTGGGGCATCAGAGTACGACAGTAAAGCTGTTAGTTCAAGACTCAATTGTGTTGAGACATCTACTTTCCTTGCTTAACCGCTTCGCAACTTTCTTCTAAAGTTCCTCCATTTTGTTTTATTCTGATAAAGTTGCTAGTTTAAATAACAAAAAAAACGAAGTTATGGGACTATAATGTGACTTTTTGAAATGTTACAAAACTCAATGCATACTGTGATCGAACGATTCGTAACGGGTCCTGTCTTACCATAACAACATGGTGTAAGGCGATGAAAATGTGCCAAATGTTTTTTTACTCTGGCGTAAATTTTACTCAAATTCAGATCATTGCGATACATGCCACGCTGCAAATCAAATAAGAAAATTGTTAAGATGTTGTGTCAAGAGCTAATTGCTCATAGTTTATGTAAACAAAAGCCGTATCCTAATCTAACAGTTGCCACCGTAACCTGAGCTTTAAGAGCCTTCAAGGAAAAAGGGCAGCCCCAACCTATCGAGATTTAAACATGTCATCTAATGAAAATGTTGGACAGGATAATGCATTATTTTATCTCATAGTTACTTGTAAATGCTTTTGAACGCATTCTAGAACCCTTGCAGCAAGTTTACATTACTATCCCTTTGACAAGCAGCATTAAAATCATTCACGATCCTTTGTTCCTTTTTTTTCTGTACTTTATTCGAACTCATCTCGCGTGGTCTCTTACAGAGGACTAAAGTGTTCATTATGGCTACGGTAAATGTTCCACCAAAATTCTGTGTCAGAAAAGTCAGTGGCAAAAAGGTGGCATTGAAACAAGGTATTTTATCTGATCGTATACTTCGATTGGTTATATTGGCGGTTAGAAAATTTACTGAGACGTACATGTAATCCTTTGGGACTTCCTCAAGGACAAGAAAAAGATGTAATTTTAGGGTAGAGTATATATATTCAACATGCAGTAGGACTTGGGGCCACCCGTATGACCATTGTCTGACTGCGACCCAATGGCGGAGTCCCCAAGTGGCCCGCTGCCCAAATTAAGATGTAAGTGAACGGCAAATATGTTACAGTATAGTAATTTACTGATAACCAGAGATGTGTTACTTATAGTAAGTTCATCTTAAAATAAGTATTTTTGTCAGAGTTAAAATTTTATTAAATTTCGAAATGCCTACAATGGGAATACAATACCAATAGATTTAAGGAATTTTGATTTGCTTGATATTTGGCAGAGGAGTAGTGAGGAGA